AAGCAGCTTATTAGTTTAAGCAGGATGAAATGTGTAAATTAATTACCCCGGCCACCCGTGCATGTAGCGGCCGGCCCTGCACACGTGCAGGAAGAAGACTCGCCTCTGTCCCTCCTGCAGTTTGCTCCCCTGCCGGGCACAACCTTGAGGACGTGTGGCCGCATGCCCACAGGGAAGGAAAGGCTCAGGCCAGCCTGTCCCCCACAGACATAGCCAGGTGGCCTGGAGGAGATAGCAGGCTGGATTCCCATGCCACCACTACCACCAGTGAAAGCAGGGGTCTGAGAAGAGCAGGTAAGGGGACAGAAAAGTCAACACCTCATCCTGTTCTCCACCTGTTCATTAAGCAGCTGTTCACAGAGTGATTACCATGTGTCAGCCACCGTGGTGACCCCTTCACTTCCTTTCATCTATTTAATCCTCCCAGAAACTCCGTTGGGCACTGTTATTCGCCCCATCTTGCAGATAAGAAAGCTGAGGAGCAAGAAGAATAAAGTACCTTGTTCTGCTGAGCCAGGTGTTCCCAGGCACAGTCAAGATTCGGCTCAGAACAGCCTACTGCCTCCCACATGGGCATAGGTAGAGGATGAGCTGTGACTGTGTTGCTGGTCCATATCCTCCCACTGCAGATATTCCTCTGCCTCAGCCCACAGCAGCTGAGCTGCACCCTGCTCCCCAGTGCTGGGTCCCCTGCAGCAGCTAGGACCTGCTCCCCCAGCCACCCCCTCCGCCCCAGCCCTCTGCCCTACGCCATTCCCAAACCACTGCACCCTGCTCTGTGCCCTGCCTGTGTCCGCCCGGCCCTCCCCTGCCACAGCCGGTCCTGTGGATGATGTCTCTAGTCCCCATCGTATTTCACCTTGACCTCCACTCTGCCTCCTGAGCCGCCTTCTTAAAGTGCTGGCCTGGCCCTGGCTCTACCCCAGAGGCAACCCCTGAGCTTACACAGGCTGTGCAATCGGGTCCTCCAGCCTCGCTGCCTGCCACATGCGGGAACTCACATATGGGAACTCATCTCCCAGTCAAGACCCTCTGATCCTCCCAGATCTTCCCATCACAAGTCTCACCCCTGTTGTCCCATCCCCAGAGAGCTGGCCTCCCACCACCCTGTGGATGGCTGCGCCTCGACGCTCGCACACCTAGATCAGCCCGCAGGTCGGTCCTTGATGCTGTCCTCACCACCCTGACTCGATGCCAGTTCCTTTCAGCAGAACCTGTGCCTTCGGCTACCCGTGCCTAAATCTTGCCACAACTCAGATGCAGCTGCTCAGTGTGTGCAAGAGATTAGTTTCGCTACCCCCACCCATGAACACCAAGCTCCTTGGGTGCTCGAGTCTCTTATATGAAGCGGTGTAGAATACACACAGAACCTATCTGTGCGCGGCCTCCTGTGTACATTAAATCATCTCTCAGTCATGAGTATCTAATACAATGTAAATGACATGTAAATAGTTGTTACACGGTATTGTTTAGGGAATAATGACAAGCAAGTCTACCTGTTTGGGACAGATGCAATTTTTTTCTCATGTTTTCAATCATGGTTGGTTGAATCCACAAGAGCAGAGCCTCAGGCACAGAGGCCCAAAATATATCTGCAAAAGAATGAAGGTCTCTTCTCTTGTACCCCTCCTATCCTACCCCTCTACGGGACCCCTGTACTTCACTCTCATCTGGGCCTGTGCAGTGGGCCCAGCTTGGGCTCAGGTCACCTGGTCCAGCCCAGAGCCCTAATTGATCGGATACACAACACTTGCTCCCCAAAGGAATATGGAACCCTTCTCTGCAAGGCTCTTTGGGGCTGCACTTTCCACTGCTAGATCAGCTCCTGCACGCTGACAGTGGTGGGGTTTGCAGCCCATCAATTCAGCCCCACTGAGGATGGGACCAGCCTTAAGGAAATGCTGAGTCTGGTACCGAGGCCGACCACAGGCCAGCAAGAAAACAGCCATTTGTCCACTTGAGATTAACAGACTGATAGTCACGAGCCAGAGACCTCCAGGCCCTTCCTCCGTCTCCTGGCTCCCTGTCTCCAGGAACCCCAGGATCCATTCTCACCCCCTGGGAAGGGGATCTGGCTCACCTACTCACTACCGCATCCTCTTGAATTATAGGTCTGCTGGCCCCAAAGGTCCCAGTCCCCACTGTCCTCCTCTCTGCCTCCCCGCTTTGGCGGGGATGGTGATGAATTAGGAACCAGAAGTTGGCACATCCACCAAGCAATTAGCGTTTATCTCCCTTGTTTATGTGGCTGAACAACAGCTCATTTTGAAACGTAGTAGTCAATACTCAGGAAGATAAAACTGTCTAGGTCACTCTTGGGAGATAATTTGAGGTTTGATGGGACAAGGACGGGCCGCACCCAGCCCTTCCTCTGGCCACTCCCCTGCAGACAGAGCCCAGGGATGGTGCCCATGTAGAAGGGACCCTTCCCCCAGTGCAACCTGCAGCTTCCATGCCTTACTTGGGCAAGGAGGGCATGAGTAGCAAGCCCTCACTCCTGCTCTGGCTGCGAGTCTGCCGTCACACGGTCCAGGCCAGGCTAGAAACGTCTGGTTAGCTAACGCAGAAAGGAGAAAGGGCCTGGCCATCCAGAGCGAGGGCTGTGGCACCTTTCCTGACCGCCTGCGCTGGGGAGGGAGGCTTAGTGCTCACTGAGGTGGTGAAATTCTGCCACCTGCTGGTCGCGTTCCAGAACTGCAGGAACCTCTCAGCAGATCCTGCGGCGGGGTGAGTGCGAGATGGGAAATCACAGACTCTCTCCACCAAATGCGGAAGGTTAAAAAGGACGGGAAACTCGGGCTTCCGCGCGTTGGGATGTTGCCATTACGCTTTGTTTAGTTTACTTGACAATAATAATAATCTCTCCGTTACCGAACACTCGCTATGCAGACGCATTTGTCACATTGTTTTTGCTGCTCACAACAGTCCTTTAAGCTGTCATCCCCTCTGACAGGCTGGGCAGCCGGCCCAAGGTCGTGCAGCTGGCGGGTGGCACCGCCAAGATCCCAGTCCGCAGTCGGGCTCCCGACTTCCCCCCGCCGTGTCTCAGCTCCCCACACCATGAAGTGCTCCGGCCCCCCTGGGTGAGGTCTTCCCAGCTCCTCTTTCTTTCACCCTCACCCCACCACCTGACTCCAATAGCTGTGTCCCAGCCCCGCCCCCCGCAGGCCTGTCCAGGTGCAGGGCACTGCTTTAAGACAATGGAATCGCCCCCGGTGGGTGTCACCGGGCGTCCTGAAGGCCCAAGCAGGGCCCGGAAGCTGCAAGGGGCTCCGCCTTCTTTCCTACTGGACAGGAAATCACCTCATGGCCCCCTGTCAGATCTGAAGGCCAGCAGGGGTCGGCACTGGGTGAAGGGAGCCTTGGGGACTTGAAGTCCAAACTCCAGCTCTCAGTGCAGCCAAGCGTCAGAGCCCCAGGCTTCAACCAAGCTCAAGGTTCCAGCGGTGTCCAGCCCTCCTCGCTGTGGTCTCCAGCTCACAGGAAAGAGAGATGGGAAAGGACTCCTCCCCAGTGATCAAGTTGGAGCCGGAAGTGACAGAGCCAGGATGAGAAGCCAGGGCTCCCAAGCAGCCCACCAGGGCTCCTCCTTGCGGAGCCAGCTAACATCCGCGTCCTGCCCAGAACAGCCTACCGTCCATAGGCTGGTGTGGGCAGGGGACAGCAGCACAGGCAACAGAGTTCTGCTAAGCTCCTTCCTTGGCCCTTCCAGGTGGAGATGCCTTCCACCCCAGCCCTGGGACCTGGGCTAGAGGCCTCCTTTTCCATTCACGCTGGTGTGGGAGGCATTCTTGGGACCCGCGAAGAAAGGACTCCCTGACTTCAGTATAATCACAGCTCTGAGCATAATGGAACTGGGGGGACGGCTGGGGGAGAGTTGCACTCAGAGACAACCTCACCCAGTTCCTAGCACAGGCCCAGGGCCTCTGGACGGGTGACTTCACACCGTGCCCACCTCCATGTGGCAAGTGGCAGCCCTGAGGACACCCAAGCCCAGGCCAGGCAGCAGCCCAGCAGGCCCCAAAGAGTGGACCAGACCTGCTCCCTCCTCTAGGGCAGAGGCCTTGGGCGGCGCTCAGGGGACTCAGAGTCTGGAAAGCCCTGGGGGCCAGGAGTGTGACCCCCCTTGTCCTTTCAGTCCCAGGGATGGGTCTTAAAGAAGGTCGGGCGGCTGTAGGGCACCAGAGTTCTGAGCAGGTAGGCTGATAGGCATTCGGAAGGGGTGCCTCTCGAGGGACAGCAGCCGGGAAAAAAGCCGTACCAGGGCAGGGGGAGCAAACCCCCCCCCCCGGAAACTCTGTCCGCCCAGTCCCAAGGGGGGCAACTGAGGTGGCCGGAGCAGACCAGTCCCCCTGTGGTAGTGTCTCCTCTCGGCAGTTTGAGTGCCCTCCACGGGCCAGACAGCCCCTCTCCTTTGCACCTCAGACCCTGCTTTCTCTTCTTTCTCTTCTTGCTCAGTGTCCCCTTCCCTTGCTGGCTCCAAGGAGCCCCTCCCCAGGAAGCCTGGCCTCTGGCTGGGACCCTAGGCTCCCTCAGCCTTGTGGGTTGAAGGGAGAGAGAGGAGCGTGGTCCCTCCAGCATGGGTTTTGGTGAGCTTGCTTAGGGGCTTTTACTAGGCTGGAGGTGTTCCTGTGTCGTCTGGCCTGTGGCTGGGCAGAGTGAGGGCGTGAGAGCAGAGGGCCTGCGGTACCCTAGCCACGCAAGGGTATTCGTACCCTCTTCACTCTGAAACCCAAGGCAGCCCTCTGGGGCCCTGGGGCAGGTTCACCACGATATCCGCCCACTCACGGCCATGGAGGTAACCCTCGGGGACCCATCCTCCACCCTCAATGAACCAAGGTCTGCCTTGGTTCCAGTCTTCTGCTCCCCAGTCTCAGTCTAAGTAGGGGAGGGTGAAGAGGAGACCCAAAGGCGCTCCATCTCCAAGGAGAAAGCGAAGATGACTAACGCTCCAGTCCCTCCAGGGACCCTCAGGGAACCACACTTTGCACACCAGAGAAGTGAGTGATGAGTAGTTTATTGAGGAGGGGAAGGCCCAAGCTCAAAGTCCCCTCCCACCCCTGCAAGCTGACCACCTCCATAGCCCCCATCGGTCCTTGGAGTTAGAGAGGACGCCACTGGGCTGCTTTTGGTGTGGTCTCTCCAGGCCCTGTGACATGTGACAGACAGGGAATGTCATCAGAGGGGAGAGGTAGAGTCCCTGGTGGGGTAGTGTGTATGTGAGGCAGCCTTGCAGACAGTGGTGGCGATCACCAGCCTGCTCTATTTCCATTGCCAGGGCAAATACCAGACTCTACAATGACTAAAATCCCACAGGGAAATGGTGTTTCCTCAGGGAGGCTGGGCCGGTAGCTCTTTTCAGGGGTGGCTTATATAATTTCCAGGGAATTGCTTATACTGGCAGGCAGAAAAGAGGGCTATCTTGGCTAAGACCATCCTGCCAGCCAGGAGAGCTTGTCCTCCAGGGACTGCAGACTCCAAGTGAATATGGTAGACTACAGGCAGCGTGAGGCCAGGACACCGAAAGGTCCCCCTCTGCTGTGGCCAAAGGCTGAGGTCTGCTAGACTAGGCTGTGGTGAGCAGGGCCCATGAGGGCACATGGGCCCAGTCTTCTTCCGGCAGGGCTGGGCTCTCCAGAGCCTAGCTGGGAAGAAGGAGGTGGGTTGACAGGAGTGGGAATAGGAATGGCCTGGCACCTCCTGTCCACACTGGATGGATGAGGCCTTAGAGAGGAGTGGTCACCAGGTGCAGAGACCAAAGGACATGGGCAGGAGGGCAGGCTGACACCATGAAGGACCCAGTGACCCAGCCCCCGAGAGGAGGGTGGGAGGCTTTGGGAGAAGCCCACCTGCCTCTTAGCACTGCCCTAGGTTAGCCCCTGAGTGTAGGAACAAAGGTGACCACAAGAAGTCACCAAGCAGGAAAATAGTCTGGATGGAGCATGGCCAGCAGTGGAGGGCAGGTTAGGTGCACCTGCTCCCACCCAGAGCACAGCAGCTGAGGAAGTGTGAGGCGGGCAGGGTGGGAGCTGTTGTGCCTCGGTCCCTCCTGCCAGAGCTCAGGGGGCCTCGTTGGACCCGATCCCGTTGCCTTTGTTGACGTAGAAAGGCCGGTAGTGAGACTGTGGAGGAGACAAGAGTGTTAGGGCGGCCGGCTGCAGCGCCCCCTGCAGCCCTCCCCTGTCCCAGCCTCCCCTCCCCGAGAAGCAGTGGTGGCCCAAATGCCAGCCATGCCAGGGGCTGTGGCCTGACCTGCAAGATCTCTCTACCCTGCGATCCAGGATTGGTCCCTCGTGTTAGCAGAATTTTTGGGCTCAAAACCCAGGTAAGGCTCATGTCTGCCAGCTGGTTGATGCACTTGAACCTCAGCCCTCACCTGCGCCAGGAGCATCCCAGCCCCACCACGGCCACCATTTTTATAGCACTTTCTGCTCTACAGGACTATACAGCACTGTGTGTGCTTTATATGGATGAACTCATTTAATTTTTACGACCACCCAATTAAATAGGTTACTGTTATCATATCCATTTTATGGCTGAGCAAATCAAGGCCCAGAGAGGCTAGGCAACTTGCCCAAGGTCACTCAGCTAGTGAGTAGAGAAGCCGGAACTTGAGCCGCAGAGGCCCAGCCAGCCCCAGCACCATGTCTGGTGTCTCAAGGGCTCAAATGTCTGCTTCTGCTCTCTGCTTCTGCTCTCTCTGCGTAATTCCCTCTGACACAACTGCCCCAGCCTAACCCAGACCGAGCTCACCCCCACTCCACCTCCTCAGCCTGGCACGCTCACCAGGACAAATCTCAGCACAGGCCAGTGGCGACACTCCCTGCCTTCTCTGTGGCCCCTGTCTCATAGTCATTTCACAGTAAAATCAGCACCTCCCCTATCTTCCCAAATACTTCACTGGGGCCCTGGGCCCTCCAGGCTGAAATGGGAGAGCACAGTTTAGCTGCTACCTGCCAGTGAGGACAGTGTCAGCCCCTGGAGGGGCTCGGGGAATGGATTTGTCCCTAAGCTGGGTCAGAAGCTGAGCCTGCCCCGTGCCCACTGATCTGTACAGAAGACCATCTCCCCACACCCCAGGGAGGTCCCAGCCCTGCCTGGGCCCTTGCTGCTCTGAGCCAGGTCCCTGCCTGCCTCTATCCACAGCAGACTCTGGCCTGTGCAATGCCGGTGTCAATGGTCATTGGCTCAGACCTTGGCTAAGCCACCAAGTAAACAGAGGAAGAAACTGAGGCCTAGGCAGAAGAACTGAGGCAAAGTCACATGGCTGCTCAGCAGCAGGGTGGAGCACTGACCCCCTAGTGCTAATCTGGAGCCCAGAAATGTCCGTAAGGCAAAGAGCTGGGGACGGCAGAGCTTATCCTGTAAAGGTTGTGTCAGTAACATGGGTCTCAGGTCAGTGAGCAGTGCTGTCTTGCTAACAGCTGGGAGTGGTGGGTGGGGGAGCATGAGAATAGCCCCACGACAGCCAGGCAGGGGCTCCCCTCCCCGGCCCCCTTCCCTCTGCACACTCAACCACCTCTGCTCTCCCAGCACTGGGCGCTGGATGGACACCAGGACCCCGCCCTCCAGGAGTCTCCGGGTGGCCTTGAGCCTTCTCCTGGGGACCCAGGCTCTGGGAAAAGGAAGGATGTAGCAGCGAGGGGAGGACTATGTCCAGGAGCAGAAACCTCGCTTGTCCCCCTATCAGCTGTCTGCAGTCCTGCTGTTGCAATGCCCCTGGGCCCAGCTGCAAATTACACACACGATCACTTAGCTCCCATCGCTGGCAAATTAAAGATTCTCTTCAATTAAACAGCCCCGGCCATTCTCTGTGGCCCAGAGCAAATCACCTCGCCGTGCTCTGACCTCCAAATGCAAAGACAGCAGGTGCCCAGGGCTTCAGCCCTGTCCCCAGAAAACCCTAGCAGTAGCGATGTATCAGGGCCAATGGCTGACTCCTGGTGTAGCCTCAGGAGAGAAGCATTTGGGGAAACGGAGGTGCAGTATGTGAGCCAGTCTGACCACCACTGAGGTTTCAGGCAGGGCTCAGGCTCAAGCTCGTTGGGGCTGAAGCTCACTTATCTCAGCGCCCGCATTGGAGATCACCTTATCTCAGCACCCGTATTATAGAAACAAAGGAATAGAGATCCAGAGAGGTATCTGACTTGTCCTGGGTTCCACAGCCAGCAGGTGGCCTGGATCCTTTGGCCACATTTCCTCATTGCATTGCTCTTATGTAGCCTTGGCCTGGGGTCATTAGGTATTAAACACTAAGTATACCTCTTTTTAACGGTCCAGCCTCTCCAGCCCGCACACTGTCACACCAATGACCTCTACACTGTCAGAGCCAGAAAACTGTAGGGCACAGCTCTAAGATCCCCAAGCCCTGGACTGAGCATTTTACAACCCTACAGTGGGTGACAACCAAGCCACCAAGCACAGGCAATGAACAATCACCAGCCAAATAGAAAAGCAGGGTGTCCACTTTACAGATTTGAAAACTGAGGCCCAAGTAGTGTGTGCTTACACAAGCCCCCTGCCTGTAAACCCTGAGACTCTACCTCTATTTATGTGGACATTGCAGCCACTGCTGCCTCCCCTGCACCTCACCCATGGCCAGAGGAGGAGGTGCTCTTCCCATAGACCCTAGGGACTGAAAATGGGTTGTCTGGGAGCCTCCTCCAGGGCCCAGGCCTCTGGCCACCCCATGCCCAGGTAGCTCTCTGGGCACCCCTTTACTCACCAGCAGAGTCTGCTTCCCAGATTTCCAAGTCTGGGGCTGGGCCTTGGGGGCCTGGCTCCGGATGAGGGAGGGATAGCCTGGGAGACGAGAGACTGTTGTCAGAGGGAGCACAGGCTGGTCATCAGGGGCCCCTGGGGCTGGAGCAGCACTGCTGCTTTCTACATGGTGATCACCAAGTGTATCCCAGCCCACTACCAAACGCAGCCACCGGAGAGGTGCGCAGCAGCTGGGTGCTGCAAATCCCAGGGAGGCTGGCCAAAGGGAGGAAACACCCAGGCAGGGAGGAGGAGCCCGGCAGGTGGCCGAGCCAGGCAGCTGGGGAGTGTCACCCACAGATCCAGGTCAGGATCACACTATGCCACAGAGATTTCTGACACCCACCCAGAGTTTATACCCTAGTCTCCTCCCCTTTCTGGAGCCCAGGACAGCCTCGAGATAAGCATCCCCTGTGAGCACGCCCCTGCAGGAGGAGCTCCCCACTCCACCTTACCAAGCGGGTGAAGCTCCCCCTTTGCCAACTCCCACTTGTCCCAAGCACTGTGCCCGGGACTGGGCCATAAAGGGACATCGTTAGTCAGTGTGGTGTCCACCCAGGGTCAGGACAGCAAACCCAAAGGGGAGCAGGTGACACTCGTTGGGTCTGGTCCAAAGGTGCCAGCCTAGGGCCAAGCTACCCTGCTACCTCCCAGTCTTCTGCATTATCCCAGGGTGTGTTGTAAGTCACTCTGGTCCATAGGACAGAGAAAAGCATCTCACTGTAGACCACGAGCCTGCAGGAACAGGCAGTAATGGCTGGGAAGAAATAGGCCATGACCTGGATACTGAGAAGCTCAAGAAAGAAACTGGGTCTGTTCTTGACAGTCCCCTGACGGGTGAGGCTACAGGCTGCCAGCTCTCCACAGGGATGAGAAGGTCAGGCCCATGGCACTGAACAAGGAGGCAGGGCGTAGGGACAGGCCCAGGACCCAGGGCAGACCCTCATCTGAGGGGAGAGCAGGCTGGGAAATAGAGATTCCATGGATCCTGAGTGGAGATGGAGAGAAAGGGAATTTAGACTCGGTTTCCAGAAAGAAAATCCCATGCCAGCCATGAGAGGCGAGGAGGGGGCAGCAGGGGATGCAGTGGCCCAGGAGACCAGCCTTATGCAACAGGCAGAAGTCCAGACTGAGTGAGCTAGGATGTAGGTGGGAACACACAGAGAGAGCTCCCTTTCTCCAGGGAGCTCTGGGGAGGTGGGACCAGGACACCCTAGAAGAGGCAGAGAGCCCCGCAGGATGTGCCACCTACCCTCTGTGGGAGAGGTAAGGGGAAAGATGGGAAAAGGGCAGGTACCAGGGTTATTGTTAAATAGCCCACTGTGGTCCAGTGGCTTGGAAAACTCTGCAGTGGCCTGTCCCAAGGTGGTGAACTGATAGGGGACTTTCCCAGTGCCTGCCAGGAGAGAGAGAGGCATTAGCAGCTTGCACCGCATGTGGGAGGCCCGAGGTGTACGCTCCGCACTGGGCTCTGAGCTCCCTCTGCAGCCCTCGTTCAGCTCTGCAGCTTACAGGTAGCCCTGGCCACTCCCCCCTGCAGGGCTGCTGGGAGTGGGGCGCTCAGTCCTTGCACACAGCACATCCTCTGCCCAGAACCCTGTCCAGGGCCTCCCCAGCCAGCCCATGAGGGGATCTGCGGGACAGTGAGAAGGGCATCACCAGGCTCTTCCTTGAAGGTGCAGTGTACTTGAAGAATCCCTCCCAAGGCCAGGCCTTAGACAGGGGTCTGTGCAGGCCAGTGAAGGCAGTTGTCCTTCCTGCCAGGGGCCCAAGGGGCATCTACCGGAACCCAGACTAGCCAAGCCACCTCCTAGAGCTTCCCAGACTGGCTCAGGGTGAGGACCTCCTGGGGCCCTGCATGCCGGGGCCCACTCCCTTCATGTTCTCTTCTTCTCCTTGCTGGTTGCTCCGAGAATCCTGATCTGGATGCAGCCTGGAAAGACCACTGGGTGACAAAGCCACCCCAGAAGCCACTGCTCAGGCACTGCACCAGCACAGCCCCTTTCCTCTCCCTCCTTCGGCCCTCCTCTGCCTGCTGGCCCTTTCCGCAGGGCCTAGCATCTTGCACGCCAAAAGGGAACGGGGTTACTTGGGCCACGGCCCACCAGAGCTGTCCCTCCAACTTATCAGGAGAGGAGCGAGGGCCTTGGGGTCCACGGAAAACTAAAATCTGGCTCAAGCCTTTTCCCTCAGGATGGCCCCCACCCCTGGGCACAGGAGACACCACTCAGCCTTATTTAAGAGCTCTAGGGAGCACAGGAGTGGCGGTCAGGGTACAGGAAAAGGAAGGTCAGATTTGTGAGCCCTTCAAGGTCGTTTGGCCCCATCTTCCCCCAAGTGGCTTGGCAGGACTGGCCCTGTGGGACGATGAGAGTGCTGCATGAGCCCAGGGTATAGGGTCAGCCAATGCCAGACGTCACCAGGTAAACAACGTGAACTGCAGTAGAAAGACTAAATGTAAACCTAAGGGACCCCCTTTGGGCCTGTGGAGGTAGGGATACGGGGTGACTGAGGAGACCCTCCTCACCAGTCTCCAAGTCCAGGAGGCACAGCCCTGAGAGACACTAGTGTGGCCCAGCCCCAGCCCCTGACTCCTTCACAGCAAAGGCCTTGCCATGACCGCTGGCTCTCAGACTGGGGCTCTCTTCTCCAGGAACTGAGGGGGACCAGTGAGGGAGGAGCAGAGGGCAAAGTGGACAATGGCAGAGGACAAGCAGGCGCATGGGAGGGAGGGCTCACCTTTGAGGGAGAAGGAGGAGCTGCCTTGGACCTGGGGCAGATCGTCCGAGCTCTGGATGGAGGAAGAATACTCCCAGACCCGAGAGGTATAGTTACCTGCGGGGCAAGAAGGGTGTGAGACCTTGGCAGGGGAGAGTAGAGGAGGGAGGGCAAGGTGGAGATGCAGCCAACTCTGTGAGTCTTACTCTCCAGCCCTTGTAAGCTAGACTGCTGCTGTGTCCACAGTCCTGCCTCCCCCAAGTCCTTCCTATCATCAAAGTTATCTTTCTAAGACAAAGTGTAGGCTCTGCCCTACCCGAAGGCCACCATCCTCAGAATAAGAAGGCAAGTCCTTCACGTGGCCCACAGGTCTTTCATGAGGGGCCGCCAATCCCCATCGTCTCCATCCACTTCCTGGCTTTGCCCCTCCCCACTGTCACTCAGCATCCCAACCAGCCTGAGCTCCCAGCTTCTCTCTTGCCTCAAACTTTGGGCCCAGAACAGGTTTTCTGCAGGACATCACAGCTGCTCCCCACAGCTTAGCGAATTCATGTGGTGGGATCTCCATGGGTCATATTACATGTGACCTTCACCGTGTCTGCGTGGGCCCACACCACCCTGCAACCCACCCGGATGCCCTGGGCTACAACTGCACGTTGTGTTGTCTATCTCCCCAGCTGGGCTGGAAAATGCCCCATCTGGCCAGCATCATCATGCCTGGTGCCTGGCACAGAGCCTGGTTCTTAGAAGGTGCTCATTGTACGGTTGATGGATGAATGCATGAGCAAAAGAACAAATAAACACAAACACATCCTATAACCTGGGGACAGAGGCAGCTGACAGAACACCTGAAATCTCATTTGGTAGGTTGAATAACAGATGTCCATATACAAATATGTCCCTGTCACCTAGAGGAGGAGGAGGTAGTGGGGAATGGCTGAAGGGGACAGTAGAGGCACCAGGAGGACACTTTCAGTTGGGTGCTCAGAGCTCCAGCCCCTTTCATGGCAGCCCCAGAGCCACCAGCACCTCCTAAATTCAGCTGGCTATGCAGAAATGCTCACCAAGCCTGTGATTTTCTCCCTGGTGACCTGGGAAGACTGGGGGTGTTTGGGCTCAAGGGTCAGAGATGGCTGGGGTGGCCACACTTGCACTGACAGGCTCTCCAGTAGGGATCTCGGGAAGCCTCTGTACAAGGCCCTCAAGGAGCACATCGGCCCAAGGTTCCGAGAGGCTAGAGGCCTTGCCTTCCCTTCCTGCCCCTTCCTCCTTCTGCCTTTCAGCACAGTTCCCCCAAGCCGTCCCACCCCCGAGCAAGGCAGAACCTATATCTCCATGACTTCCCTCCTATAGCTTACAAATTATTGCTTATGTGGATAAGAAGACCATGGTGGGGCCCCGCTGTGAATCTGATGCTGACAGAGAGGTCTAAGCATTGCCCTGCTCCTCAGGTGCCCCTGACCTGCTAACCTAAGTGGGCCTGGTCCTCACTCAAGAGTCTTCCTAGTACTGTGTCTAGGGTGGGGACTCTGGTGGAGCTGGCCCAGTCACCTCCCTCCCTGAACACAGTAGGCCACACCAGGAGCCCCCAGGACAGAATGAGGGCCTCACAAAACTGAGCTTTTGAGTTCCGCTGTGCCCCGAGGCATAGTGGTCCTTTGGTGCACTTGGCCAAGGGAGACCTGGAGCTGGGGAAGGCCCACCCCACCCTCATTCCACTTCTCCTGATCTGACAGTGTCGCCTATTTCCTTCACCTGGAAATAATACTACCTAGATTTCCAGGAACAGCCCCTTTCCTACTTCTTCCTGCCCGGCTCCCCATAGACATCTCACACTGGGGAATCAAGCCCCAACCATGGCCCAGCTCTGGCTCCCACCTCCACCTGCTCCCCCACACAGTTTCCCTGCCTACCCTGGAGCCAAACCCCTCCTACCTTTGGTGCCATAGAGGTTGCTGAAATTCTTCTGGTTGGTCTCCTTGGAGAGACGGCCAGGAGATGATGGCTGATAGGAGGTGCGGGCCCCACCTGGGAGGTAGACAAGAGGGGTCCATCACTGTAGACGGGGGATATGGCTCAACTCCACAGCCTCTGACTTGGGAAGTCTCAGGCAGAAACCCAAAGGGTCCTCCACGTGCTGCCACAGGACCTGGATCCCACCATTAAGAGCAGTCCATCGATCTAGCATCAGGTGACCTTTTATTATACAAATGGGGACCCTTTGCAGGGATGGAAACTGCTCTATTGATCATTATTCCCAGAGCACTGGGACTCACCAGGACAATCCTAGGTACACTACAATGTACAGTCATCCTTCTCTGGGGGCTCTCAGGACGCTGACAAGGCAACGCTTCCCTCCTGAAGCTGTCCCTGTGTGAATGAGACTCCAGGGGCGGGGAAATGCAGTGGTAGGGAGGAGGGAGAGGCCATGGCAGGGTTGGGGGCACAGGTGTTGGGCGCTTGGCTGACTGAGGGCTGAGCCACCTGTAGGTGTGGAGAGTGAGCTGGAGACAGCACAACACCGTGGCTTCCCTGGTGCCATCAGAGTCTCCCTCCCCACAAGAGCCTCCCTTTGTCCCCATCTGGGTGCTCACAGCAGCCCGTAAGACGGCAGAGCACATTGGTACTCACTTCACGGAGCAGTGTGCCAGCATCCCCTGCTGACTCTGCCCCTCCCCACCTAAACTTCAGACTGCACCCCGGCCTCCAGGTGTGGTCCCCATCTGTCCCTCTAGACCCTTTTGCCTGTGGTTTCTTCTACCCATTGCGCTCTGCCCATCACAGTCACTCCTAATTACCAGGCACACAGTTCCTCTTCAGGGAAGCTTGAAACTGACCTTTCCTGGGAAGGAGTCACAGCCACTGCCTAATCCCAGTGGCCCCCAACTCCCAGGCTCGGCCTGCTGGCCATTAGTGGCCTTGCTTCCCGATCTCCTTGCCCAGTTTCGTCAGTGTCTCCCTTGCCTCTCTGCCCTGAACCCGGGAGCTCAGAGGGCAGACGTCCCATCCCTCCTTATCTCCAGCCAGGGCGCTGCCCACAGTGCTAGGGCAGGGACACTGGGGGAACCTGTTTCTTCCACCTACGGATGTCACAGACTGACTCACAAGGGTAGAGCCGGGAGGGCTCTGAGTCCTGGGCCACCTGCCTCTCATCTCAGGTAGGAACAGTGAAGCCAGAGGGGACAGCCCATGTCTCCCAGAGTCTGGACTGTCAGGGTGACAGCTTGGTGGGCTGTGCTCCTCCCTCCTTGCAATGGGACCACCCTGGCTCTCGGTCTCCCACACAGCAGGAGAATCAAGCAAGAGCTGGCGGGGGACTTGCTGCTCTCACTGGGGCTGGGCTTGGACAAACAGAGGAATCAGGCAAGGTGGGGTAGAGGTGGCTTGTTAGTGCAGCTCATCACTCACAGAACTGGGCAGCACCCTGGGTAGGGGAGGGTGCGGGACTGGCAGCTGGGCCTGGCCCATATGAGGAATGTCAGAGGGGGGAAGCTGGGCACCAGGCTGCCGCCCTAGACCTGCCTGAGAAGCCCAGGTGTTGTTTTCAAATCGGGACAGGCAGCAGAGCTTCCTCTCCAGTGAGCTCATCCCTCCAAACCCCAGCCCTCTCACTTCCACTGTGGGTACATCTGCGCGCACGCTCAGGCACACACACACACACACACACACACACACACACACACGTGACTGTTCCAGGCCTCACACGCCCCTCCTTGGCCCAATGCCTTCCTTTCTTCTCCCTTTCCTCACATCCCCACCCCTCTCCCAGCCCCTAGTCCCCAGCCCCCTCAAGCACATGCACAGCCCTCCATCTGGGGCTGCTGGGCCGGCACACCCACCCTTATGTAATGGGCATTGCTGTGGTTTATTGCTGGTGCCCAAGAATGTACCAAGCTCCTCTAGGGCATGGACAGGCAGGCCCTGGTCTAGACCCTATTATGCTCTCACCGCAGGTGGGGCTCTGCAAGGCCTGGGAAAGGAGGGCTTTGGGGCCAGACTGCTGGTAAGAAAATGCAGAGGAGGAGCAAGTGGTCCTGCAGGAAGCAGTCCTTCCCTTCCCTCAGGGCCCCGACCCACAGAAATTTAAGCGGAAATGCCACACGGCTCTGGCCTACAGAGGGGAGCCCAGGAGACTCCCGGAAGTACAGAGGAGATGGAGGAGGGTCCGGGAGGGGCTGACTGTGTCAGGGGAGGGAAGCCTCTGAAGAGCAGAGTACTGGGTGATTTATCATCGAAATGGGACACTTGTCACTTCTAAGAGTGAAAGGAAGCATTGCTCATAATCACAAAGGGACAGCAGGCAGATGCCCAGCCTTTCCCAGGCACACCTGAGATACAGTCATTCCACCCAAGAGGAAACTGGCTGGGAATCATTCCACGGACTCTGGGGCCCTTGGGCAGCAGAAGAGACAGGATGCCAGGCCTGGGCCCAGAAGGGTCGCCCTTACCCTTGGGAGTGAGGTACATAGAGTATCTCTTCAAGGTGTCAGGCGTACTCCACTCATTCCCGAAGCTGTTTGTGTAGCTGTTCATGTAGCGGTGGTCACCACCTATGAAGAGAGATTGAGTTAGCAGAGGAGGCAGGTAGGGAGGAGGAGCTGGCCACTCGGGTATCTCCTCTGTCCAGGAAGAGCCAAGCTTCCACACCCTCAGAGAAAGTGAGGATGCCTGTCCAGCATCTGCTCCGCTCCTGAGCTCTGTTGGACTGGCACTGTGAATCCAGGGGCCCCCAGGCCCTACAGCACCTTGTGAGTAAGATCATGTGCACAGCACTTTGGAGTTCACAAGGAGCTGTTGGTATCCATTTCTTATTTGATCTGTATGTTAACTCTTGGGCAGGTATAAAAATCTCTGTGTGACAGATAAGAAAATTGAGGCTCAGGAGGTGAGGGAAGCAACTTGCCCTATGCCACCTGTCAATAAAAGCAAAACTGGGGTTTGTGACCTGGTTCCCAACTGTGCAGCTCAGTTCTAGCCCTGGCTGTCAGTCTCAAGACACAGAATGAGTTCCCAGCTCTGGCTTAAAAGATAAGCTGAATGACTTAGCTGTCCCCACTTGCAGACCCAAAACCCAAATAATGTCACTCATTGCTCAACTTCCCCAAGCTGCTCCCCACCCCATTCTTCGGCTTCTGCTTCTCTGTCTTCCTCCCATCTATCGCTTCCTCCTCCTCCTCTTCTTCCTCCTTCCCTGCTCCTCTTTGTTCTTCTTCCTTCATTCCTTCCTTCCTCTCTCTCCCCATCTCTCCAGCAAGAGGAGGAATGAATAGCTCAGACTCATCCTTCATCTCCACCACCTGCATCTAGGCATCTTAGCAGGATCCTGCCATACAGTGGGTGTTAGCCTAGCTGTTAGCCCAGGGTAAAGGTGACCTGGTGCCTTGTAGTCCCTAGGCTTTTGGGGGAGGGAATGATTTTGGTCGGGGGGGGGGACACCATCAAGGAGGAGCAGACGGTCACTCTAAGATCTGACTCACCAGCCACCTACCCCCACCTCTCACGGCAGATACACTCCCAAACACTACACAGCAGCGACAACACAAAAAAACAACACAGAGGCGAAAGAGGCTCCTCCAGTAGCCCCAGGCACAGGGGCAGGGCTCCTGAATCAGCAGGGCCCATTCCTGTTCTAGCTGTCGCCTCCCTACACACCTTGCAGAGGACACAGGGCCACACCTGCACAGAGGCCACGACCAGCGCCATCATGACCTAGAAATGGAACAGTGAGCTTCTGGGAGGCTGGACAGCCCCTGCACAGCTCACAGGCCACCCACCCCAGCCAGGCCTAGTCTCCCAGGTGGGCTCACACTTCACCCACAGAGGGGCCCCCCCACAGGGCAGTGATCATCACACTGCGCAAGTCCTCTGCTGCCACTCCCTGTTGCTGCGATCAGCAGTAGCAGTGGCTCACGGATGATAAGGCATGGAAGCATGGACAGCAGCGTGTGAAATCTGACAGCACCCTCCCCAGCTGTGTGTCCTCTGAAAAGCTGCTTCCAGAGCCTCAGCCTTCTCATCTGTACAATGCAAAGCACCCCGCAGAGAAAATAAGGTAACCCGAGTGAAGAGCCTAGCACAATGCCCAGCACCCACAGAGCACTCAATCACCTTCAACTGTCACTAGCACCATTAGGCTCATTGCTATTGTCATTAGGAAGAGATTGTCAGGGTCTGAGTGCCATTTAAAGCCAAATGATTGTCTTGCTAAAATGGCTTATCTGTCCTCAGGTGTGACCGAATGTCCCTCATATTTCACAGGGGCACTATGTGATACTACCGTCACCAAGATACACAGGTGTCCCCTTGTCCAACCATCCTGCATACTCTTAGCCCTCTCTCTTCCCCAAAGAATTGGGTGCTCCACCTGCAGGCCAGACAGGGCCAATTTCCTGTGGGAGTCCATGGCTGGAAGACCCTCCCTAGGCTGCATTTTAAAGACTATGCTGGGTCTAGGCCGCTGGGTGGGGGCTTGGGGAAAGTACTCAGGCTTCAGGCCCTAAAGGGACTGGGCGGAAGAGGATTTAACGGAGTAGTTTCTCAGGTTTGGAGGCTTTCTGTGAAATGATTCAGTTGACCTTGGCAGAGACAGTATGAGTCAGAGGAGGGGCTGATTTCAGCTGGTGAGTCACAGAGACCCGTAGCATCCCATCATCCCCAGGCCAGCCCAGCAGGCCAAGTCCAGCCTCTGGGCTCAACACTTCCAAAAGAGCCATGGTGACAGGCAAGTCCTCCTTCCATGTATACGTGCAGAGCTAGGTTACTGGAACCAGAGCCTGCAGAGTCTCCAGCTGGGGACTGGTGCATAACAGCAATGGCGTTTACTTAGCCGCTGGACTGGGCCCCATGAGCAGCTATAGATCGGAATGAAACCGGCCCCTGAATATGACAGGTGATCCACTGAGAGGAGACCTTTCTGAGGGCAAGGCCCCTCTTAGTCTTTGGCCTGGATGCTTCGTACTTCCTGTTCTAGAGGCCCTTTGTAATAGCTGCAAGTTCAATATCAGGTTAGGAGCCTTGAATCTTAGTCCAAACCCCTTTAAGTGAGTAGAAGGGTGGGAAGAGAAAGAGGCAGGCCTGACAGATGCTGCCCTCTGCCTAGCGGCAGAAACTGGCCTGGGAGGGACATGTTTGGGGCCTTGGGCCTGCACCCAAGAAGGGCCTTACCGTTCTCCATGTGGTTCCTCTCAATGAAGTTACGGCTTAGATCAGCTTTGCACATCTTCTCTACGTGGCGCATGCACACATTGAGCAGGTCATCCTTGCAGTTGCCAAGGGACTGTCCCAGGCCCTCACCTTCCAGCAGGACATGGTAGGTGGGCAGGGGTGGGGGGAAAGTGTAATTGCTCATCAATGCCCCAAATTCCTACGGAGAAGGGAAAGACGTCATTAACTTCCTGGATTTTTATGAGCTATGGGGACCTTTTGCCTACCAGAAGGCTCCCAGTTACAGACTCAGTGCTGGGAGCCAGAGGAGCTGCATTCTAGAATCAGCTCAATTAACTAACCTCACTGGGCAAAAGGTTCAGCTAAAGTCCCCCAGACACTGACATCCCTGATGGCTTGGCATTCAGAATGAGACCTTTGGCCTGGGTGCAGCATGGCTACCTCATTGGGGTTTACATGCACACTGGGGTGAAAGCATCATGAAATGCAAGAAAATCCTGGAGTGTTCTGAGCCAGTTATTGCAGTATCTCCACCTTCACAAGCCTCACTCCATCCTGCCTCTACACCTCTGTGCTTCTCACCTCCCTACTGCTCACTGGAGAATCTGCCTCCTTCTCAAATCCTGAGTGCCTGCAAGACCCCACTCACACTCTGCCTCCTCCACAAAGCTGTCCATAGATTGCTGCAGCTTGCTTGCCCTTCTCTGAGTTTCCGCAGCACTTATCTCCTGAGCCATATGTTTTATCATTTAATTACACACTTCTCTATATTGTTCTCTAATTGTGTATATCTTATCTTCCCAGCTGAATTGCAGGTATTTGGGAGCATAAAACATGTCTTATACTTCTCTATAGTACCTATCAGAGTACTGGGCAGCTAGGAGCACCCAAAACATTTTGGCAGATGAAAGACAGATGCATAAATAGACAAAGAGATTAGGTCAAAGATAAAAAATATGCAGCGTTCATATGCCATTCTTCCCTTGCCCAAAACAGTATTGCTATTCAATCATAGAACTCTTTCCTACTAATCCTGGAACACCACTAGTACATAGCAATCAAAGTTGGTACAAGGTAATATTTGCTCACCATCTTTAGAATAGGTAGGGCAGTTAGTTGTTTGGTTGGTTGGTTGGTTGGAAAAATTAAATGGATAGATGGGATAGAGCTTGGATGGATGGATGGATGGATGGATGAAATAGAGGGGTGGGATGGGAGGGGATGGGATGGGAGGGGAGGGGACAGGGGGCTGGGGACTTGAATGGTGGCAGACTCTCCCATTACCTGCAAAAACAGCACTGAGTCACTGATGCTGTGTAGCTGTTCCCGAGTCTGCTTGTCCTCATGCAGCACCTTGGCCCTCTCATCCAGAGCATCCACAATAATCTTAATTTGGTCCACAGCATCCTGCTCCCTCTGCTCCAGTGCAGCCCTTACTTCCTCCTTCTGTTTCTCCAGGTCCCGCACCAGGTCCCGAAAGTTCTGTTCCAGGGTGGCCTTCTCATTGGTGGTAAAGCTCTAGGTGCAAAATCAGGAGAGGGATGAAGGAGGATTCCATTAAGAAAACCACAGCAGAGAACATCTTTAGGTTCCCATCACAGGACCAGGGCACATGCCCTAACTCCGCAATCCTGTTGGCCATGAATCTCATTCAGAGGCATCACCTAGAGATGCCACTGGCTGCTACAGGGCTTCTCACAATCCACCTTTTCTTATCCACCTACATACAGCTCCTTTCCCTGGGTAGGTCATCATGAGCCATCATTCCATGACTGAGTGACTCCCTGTGGACCCTGACATTGACCCACAAGTCAGGGTGTATTCAACCAAAATCAAACACCATTCCGAAAGTGAATTAACTGGCTGTTTTCATGGCTATGTCAAAAGTCATTGATTTCAGGCTGTGCTTTGCCATTGCCCAAACTATGGCAAACATGTATTTGGGCCATAATGGCACAAGTAGAGGAGAAATGACACATACTTGGTGGCCGGGTCATCCAGTATGCAGACACCTGACTGAGGACACTGGAAGATGCAATGGAGGACAGGTCTAGGGTATTTATATGCTGAGATGATCAGTGTTGGGTGACAGATAAGAGCCCACCCAGATGCCTGGCCCAAGCTGAGAAAGGAAATAAGTAGGAATGCCAGAGGGGGCAGGAGAATCCAAACAAACAAGTATGGGATGTCACCGTGGCTGAAACCTGGGACAGGAGCCATGACCCAACTTTCCCAGGCAACACAGGTGGGGGGGGGGTACACTGAGGGAGCCTGGAGCTGCTCACCTTGATGCGGTCCTTCTCCTTCTGCCACTTCTCAACTTCATCCTCGATCTCGATGATCTTGAGCTGCAGCTGTTCCTTTTGTAGTGACAGCTCCGTCTGAAGGCAAAGGGTTGGCAAAGTCAGGGGAGGAGAAATAACAGAGCCAGGCTCTGGGCAGAAAACAAACTCTCAGGCAGGGCTCTGCACTCATCCAATCAGTCCTTCACTCAGCACACATTCACCAGGACCTCAGATATGCCAGGCTCCGTGCCAGCCACCAAGGATCCAGCAGTGAGTCAAACACCATCTGTTGTCCTCTCAGGCCACTAAGCTGGACATTCTAGACATGTCTTTGTATGGGTTAAACCTCCCTGGCTCCTTTATCCAACATAAGAAACAAGCTTTAAGGGGTTTATTGCTCCTTTTGGTGGACCTGAAGCCATCAGGAAGAGACACAGCCCCATCCAGAGAGTGTCTCCTGGTGGTAACAGTGTGCAGTGTTTCTCTAGCATGACGTGGGGCTTGTGTTGCAAGCAGCAGCTGGGGTTGCCGCCGGCACAGACTGTGTCTGGGCAGGCACAGCTATAAATCTGTTTATGGGAAAGGAGACACATTCGCAGTTTAGGCAAAAGAGGGGACTTTTACCCAAGGTTTCCAGAGAAGGAGAAGGCTAGCAATGAACCTAGAAGGGTAAGGAGAGGCTCTAGAACTCTGCACAGGGGCAGGCAGACTGTTGGGGTCCAGGGAGGGCTGGGAAGAGGGTTATCACGAATGCGTTAGTGTGTCAGCCTCACACGTCCACACTTGCCAAGTCGGGAAGGCAAAAGGGGAGTCATTAATGCCAATCCAAGAAGCACCTCTTTTGTCCTGTGGGGCTCCTCTCTAAGGGCTTCCAACACACCTCCCAGTTTGTTCCACCTAACAAGTAGGAAAACCAAGGTATCCCAGAAAGTCAGGGCTCACCCAGGGTCTCTTCACAATCACCGAGTTTTGAATGCAGAGTCCCACCCCTTTCTCAAGCCATCTACTTGAGAACCCACAAAAACAGTCAAAGTAAAGAAGCGACAAATCATAAGAAAGGTGAGCTCCAATGGCAATGAGCAGCTGGAGTGTCACCACTTGCACATCTGTAAATACCCTGCCAAACTTAGGGGGCACCAATGGAAAATCAACTGCAGACATCCAAGGAAGTGGATCCAGTGGGGCTAGAGCTCCGCTGGCCTTTCTGGAAATGGTGCCCAAAAGCATGCAGAGGGCATGCGGCAGGAACCACAGCGTTCCCCAGAAAGGGAGCCCCTGCTCCATGGCTGGCCCCTCAATGACCACACTCTGCCAGCACTGAGACTCTAGAATGTTCTCAGTGAGCATCTGCCCCACCTAAAAAGGCTGGAATCCTACAGCACGGAAAATGAGATCACCAGAGAGGACAGGTTGTCAACAGTAGAGGAACACAAGGCATGCGAGTATGATTTGGCCTGGTCTCTGGAACAGGCTGGGGAGAAGAGATAGACAGAGGAGAAAGGGGAAGAAGAAAGACAGTAAGTCCTTGCCATGGTAGTGGAAACTCAGCCCTCACCCTCCCTGAAGCTGTGGAGCCAGACAGCCCAGAAAACAGAGCTTGGCAGGCCCAGTGGCCCCAAAGCCCCTGAGAAAGCCAAGCTGGTTAGTGGACCTAAGCCCTGAAGAAAAAGACCAAGAAGCTGGACAATGGTCTGTTCCAGGCAACTTTCCCATCTCTAAAAATGGGGCCCAAGTGGAGGGACAGCTGAAGGCTGACCATGCTCTGTAACTGAGACTTCCTAACCCAGTTCAGGGGTGGAAGAGTGAGCACTTGGGTTTCCCAACCCATTTCACCACTCCCAGAACAAGGTCTACTAGAAAAGAAAGCAGAAAACAAAGGCTCACCCCCTCCCACCCTCAGGCCAGGCCCAACCCCAGTGAAGACTTATCACCGATGGGGGAATAGGCCATCCTTCCATAATGTGAGCTACATGATGGTCCAGGAAGAAGATCACCCAGCGCACAGGACAGGTAATCCAAGAGCTGGACTCCTGTAACCACCACCTACAGGCAGGAGGCCTTTGCTAGGTACTTAATTTCTCTGTGCCTTAGTAACCCCATCTGTTCCATGGAGTCAGTAAGAGGATCTCCCTCCCAGGGCATGAAGATACCGGAAACTATCTGCTACAGGGCAAGTGCTGACTAAACAATATCATTGCCACTGCTGTTCAGACACCTGCCAGGTGCCAGTCATCATCCTTGGAAGAGAAGGCAGAGAGACAGGCAGGTTAGAGGGCATAGGCAAGGAAGGGCAGTGGGCAGGTGTGCTCAGGTGAGGTCTTGGTGGTGTTAAGTGGTAAGGGTGGTACATGTCATTAGATTGGGGTCTGGATATAGTGTGGACACAGTCCAGACACAGAGGGCAGGGTTGATGGCATCACAGAGACTGGGAGGTTAGATATTAGACTGAGGGCACAAAATAAAAGCTTAGGACATGAATAATGGAAGGAAGGAGGATCTTGAGGGGACAGAGGGAGGAAAAGGGGCTGAGGGTGGGCTAAGTACCTGTGGGTGCAAAAGGACCTGACCAGGGAAGGTAAAGACCAAAGAGTCAAGTGCCAGAGTGAGCAGTAGGGCTCAGGGGACACGTGTTCAAAGCTGTGTGGCCAGCTTGCTGGTGAGGAAAGGTCTTGCCTAGGTAAGCGTGGACTCACAGATCGAGAGGAAGGGAGGAAGAACTGAGCCCAGGGAATGGAGGGGTATAAAACACGAAGCATCTAGGCCAAGGACGAAGAGGGGCCAGTGCCCTGGGAGTCCCTCCAGGCGGGGCCTGGGGAGGAGAGCTGGAGGAGGAGAGAAGAGAAGCTGGGCTGGACACGTGTGAGGGCAGGGTCAGAAGTAGAGACGAGCTGTCTGCAGCAGTGGGTGGAAGATTTGGTTAGCATAGAGGACAGACGGGTCCTCCTTTCCTGAGGGCGCTCAGGAAGTCAGACACAGGCTGGGAGGGGCCTGGTGCTCACAGTGCAGCTAGCAAGACCAGACTTGCAGGGCACAGCGAGCTCCTGAAAGGGAGCTGGGACTAGGAATGGGTCAGCTAGAACTGTCCTTCCTTCTCATCCCTGTTGGGGAGGAGGGCTTGCTGTGAGACCTCTAGGGATATACCTCGTATCTGTCTGGCTCTTGGCAATATTTCCTGCACAAGAAGTAATTGAACATGGGAAGCTTCCAAAGGCTGTACTAGGAGAAGGAAGGACAGGAACTTTAATCATTGAGCATCTATCATGTGCCAGGAATTTCCTTCAATGTGCAAATACCCCCAGTGGAAATCAGGGATAGTATCCTCACTTTATAGATGCAGAACCAAGACCTAGAAAGATTTTATAGCGTGTGTGTCTTCACTGTAAGAAAGGAAGAAGTAACACCAAAATGCAATGACAGTGCTCCAGTCCTGTTCTGTGGCCTTCAGAGGGACCTCCAGGGCGGCAGCTCTGGGCTCTCCTGTAGGACAGACCTTCCCTGCTAGTCTAAGCCACACAAGCTCTCTCCACCTCACAGAGACTCTTCTGCCTCCCTTTTCCTCTCCATTCCCTCTCCTGAGGCCCCAGCTTTCTCTCTCCTGCTCTCCCGCCTCCTGTGGAATGCGGCGGGAGCTCCTGGTGTCTGATGGGGCCTCAGTACCCAAAACCTCCGCCCCTACCCACAGCTCCCTCCTGACTTCCTCATCCTCCCCACTTCTTTCCCTTCACCCTGCCCAGACCTGTCTCTGAATGCTCCTTTTGTTTCCTTCTCCCACACTTGTCTCACTCTGTAATGCCTGAGATGGGCCTGGCGTGGGCCATTCAACCTTGAGATTTTCCAGCCTTGAATGAACAGAGGTTTTCCTGAGAGCAGAGGGATTGCACAGCCTGCTGGTGCCTAGACCTGGATGGGGCCCTTAGGTGCAGACAACATCTGAGAGTTCACCTGGACAGGTGTACTTGTATCTCCCCCAGGGAAGGGGAGATCGGCAGTGATCTTCCCCGGGCCGACATTAACTACAGGGGCCGTGGGCTGTGACATTTACCAAATGAGCTAGTTAATTGCCAAATTTGTACTCCCAGATACATGGTAATTATCTGGATAAGAATCTGAAATGCTGGTGAGATTTCCCCATTTCCACTCAGATGTCAAACAGCCAAGGATCAGTTTGCCTTTTGATTGGAATCTCGCCCTTCCTCTGCTTTCACACAGCCTCAGGTCAGGAAAGGTATAAATTGGGGCAAAAAAAACCAAAACCAAACCAAAAAAAGGCATCACGCTGGCCTCTCCAGAGCAGTATGGACCCTGGAAAAGTCACTTCACCTCGCAGGGCCTTGGTTTCCTGGGGTGACATTGGGCTGGATTTCTGATTCCTACCCTGGTTACACATTACAATCCCGGAGTGAGACTTCTAAGCCTACAGACCCTAGGTCCCAATCTTGTGACTGAAAACTAGCAGGGCAAGGCCTGAGAATCTGTTTTAACAAATCATCAAGTGATTTCAGCCTGAAGGTTGGTTCTCCCAAGAAGAACCTTCCAACCCCAAGGAGAAAAAGGTTTAAACCAATGATGAGCGAGCCCAGCTCCAACCCTCCCCAGCGCTGTAACTTGTATGAATCTCTTGGCTTCCTGGCGCCTGCTTCTTCACCTACAGAATAGGTGCGATGTTCCCCCTACACCACCCCCATGAGACTGCCACCTTTGTAACTTTGCAAATGCCACAGAGTGACACCTGGCACACAGATGGCTCCATACAGACGGGACTGTCATCTGCCTGCCTGCCTGCCTGCCAGTCATTTTCTTTTGCTCCCTGTCTCTAATCCTTTACTTGATTGTTTCCCCTCAGCACCAGATGGGTCATCCCACCTCCCATTTCACCACTAGTCCCAGAGCAGATGATCTCCCTGCGAATCTCCAGGACAGGGGTTCCAGAGCTCCCTAACTGTCAGCCTAGCTCCTCTTCCCAAGCTCCAATCCCACTGCCTCAAAGGGCTTCTATGCCCAGAGTAGCTCTCCTATGAACTTCAGGACCAGGACTGCACATGCCTATCAGCCTGGGGCTCAACCTTCCTGAAAGAACTGGGCAATGACAAACAAAGCGATATGGTACAGTGAAGGAAACAACCTGAGAAAAATGATGGGCTAGAATGGCCAAGGCACTGAGGCTGAGCTTCTCTAGACTGATGCTCGTAGCTGAGTGTCATCAAAATGTGCCTGATAAATGCCAATGGTGCTGTGACCCCAGGCACATGCCAGGCACAGAACAGAGCAGGGGCATCCAGAGCAGGCAGCCATCTGCCCAGAGGTGTCCTAATATCCTGGTGTACTGCAGCAGGAGGGTCTTGAGATAGAAGAAAGGGCCACTTCACCTAATTGGGAGAGTATCCAGCGGCAAATGTTGACCAGTGGACATTTACGGGACTCCTTGTGACATCTAAAGTGGAAGGAGAAACATCACAATCTAGGGTAGACTGGAGGAAGGAGCTATAATGTTGCCACTCAAAGGGAAGGTTTTCAAGCATGGCCTTTGCTCAGAGTCTGCAGGTGACAGCCAAGGCTAGGACGTGGGCACTCACAGCCAGGAGGGCCGTCTGCCACTTCATGCAACTCACCCGGATGAGGTTGGGCCACTCTGCCTGGCCTTCACTGACAGGCCTGCAGAACAGGTTCTGCGCAGGCTGTACACACAAAGCTGTATGTGGGATGATGTTTGGGTTTGCAGGAGATGCCTCATAGGATGCCAGGATTGATACCTGCACTTACTCCAATCCATCAGCCCACTACCCTGGTTCTGTACCAGTGTCGCCTGTCTGACATTCCAGCAGAGGTGGGCTTAGACAAAGTATGCTGGATCAGACTCCTGGCTTCTCAGCCCTGCTCTTCTTTGCCTATCTGTATGCTGCAGGCACACATTCATGTACACACACACGTACACACACAGGCTGCCCAGAGCTACCACCATTATAGTCACTCCAGTGGATCCGGCGTCTTTCCTAAGGACACGTATTCCAAATCCTGCCCCCTCGGTGCCTTTTCCCTGAGGCGCTCTCAAATGTTAGAAGTGGACTTTGGGAGCTGTTCCTGCCTCAACCGGAATCTTGGGCTGCTGCCTCTCTCTGGGCCTGTGTCCCTACCTGCAAGGTGAAGGGGGAGACCAATGCGGCTGGCTAATGTTCCACCAGGCCTGGCATTCTATCCCCCGTGACTTGCTGTTTACCCACAGCTGCTTCTACATAAGTGGGAAAGTGCTGTCCTGTGTTGTTTGGCTGATTTCTGCCTCCTGACCTACACTGTGAGCCCTCAAGGGTTATCTGACCCCTACAGCAGCCCCTGAGCCAGAACATACAGTCAGAGCTCCTAGTGAGTCCAGATGGGGCTACCCAAACCCTCCTGCCCACCAGCACCACCTTTTTCATGAGCACTTGTTTCCAGTGACATCTGGGTCCAAACCCTGTGTAAGAAACAGGTCGATGAGTGGGCTTTGCTTGCAGTAGGGGTGGGAACCTGGACCTCTGCCTCCTGGCCACCTCTTTGCTCCTCCTCCCTCTTCACTCCTAGGCTTAGAAGACTTTTATAAGAATCCTACAGCTCCTTGAGATAATTTTAAAACCAACAATCTAGCCCAACCCCTCGGGGAAGCTGGGACTGAGAATGCAAGATACTTATCCACTATCTCACTGCTCGTTAGAGGCAAAAAACAGCCTAAAACTCAGCCTGAGGCTCTGTATTGTCTTAGTCACTGTGTCCGAGGATGACCTCCCAAGTAAGTTCTCTAAACATGGGTCCCATGGCCACTGACCCCTCTGTATCTTCCCATATGAACCTGGGGTTAGAGGCAGGAGAAGCTGGAGATATCTTTTGGGGCCCAGTGATGCTTTGGAAAGGATCATTGAGTCTGTCCACATCTCTAACTCATCCCACCCTACCCAGAGGAGTTGGCAAAAGGCACAGAACGAGCGACACGTCTGGGTCAGAATGGCCCAGCAGGAAGGACCCTATGCTGCCCCGTTCTGTGGGGTACAGAAGCTCTTCAGACAGTCAAGTCTCCTGCATTGGCCACCAGGAAGGTTGGCTCCGGGCAGCCTTCTGCCGCCAGGAGCTATGGAGCTATGGAGCTATGGAGCTATGGAGCTATGGAGAGAGTGGGCCCAGCATCTTTAGGGCAAGAGGCAGTGGCCACATTGGCCCTTAGCTCAGAGCACCTTCCCCAGGTGTGCCACCCCCACAAGCCTCCACTTGCCTCTGCTCCTCCCCGCTGAAATACCACATAACCACATACACAGAGTTCGTGCAGACCCATGCATCCCACACACATACAGGCAACAACCACATGCATAGGAAACACACACACCAGTGTACACCCACACACACACCCCCTCAACACTGGTGTCCCCCACAGGCGTAGGCATGTCCTATCTACCTGTAAGCACACACACAAAGTATACTGGGAGCCCCTGAGAGGACAAAGGAGGTGAGTGGAGTGGAGGGACTGCCTGGGGATCAAATAGAACAAGCAGCCAGTGTTCTGCAAGTGCAAGCCAAGATGCCGGCAAAGAGGACATTTAGCGACCCCCAATTCCCTCCTTCCAGGATCTCCCTCACCCACAACCCATTCCCCAGGGCTCAGTCCTGCTCAGCATGGGAAGAATTCTCTCTTAAAAAAAAAAAAAAGAGAAGAAGAAGGGAGAGTGGGAAAGGGACCCTCCAAGCAGGCAGAACCTAGGACTAAGTGCTGTGCCCTTGGGTCTTACTCTCCGACCTGACTTGAATTTATCCTATGGCCTTGGTCAAGCCCCCAATCCTTTCTGAGCCTGTCTTTGCTCATTTAGAAAAAGCCTGTCTCTCAAGACCTTAGAGGATGGGGGAGTTACCTCTGCCCTCCAGGCAGAGAGCAAAGATATATTTTCTAAAAGAGCCAAGCACAGTCGAGGTTTAAACCCAAATCCCAGAAAGTCAACAGAGACCAAGGTGGGCAGGGGTGGAGAGGGGGTATAGGAACTCGGCAGAGGGGAAGTAGGACACAGAAGTCACCTCCTTCTCAGCCTTGGCCTCTTCCACCGTCACAGTGCTGTGGTTCTTGTGCTCCTGGAACATGCAGAGGTAGCAGATGCAGGTCTGGTCGGTTTGGCAGAAGAGCTCCATGGTCTTGCCGTGCAGGGGGCACTTGCGGGCCTCGAAGTCTCGGATGGGCTCGAGCAGCTGGTGGTCGCGGAAAGCAGCGCCCTCCAGGTGGGGCTTGAGGTGCAGCTCGCAGAAGGAGGCCTGGCACACCAGGCAGGATTTGACGGCCTTCTGCTTATTACCTATGCAGGAGTCGCACAGCACCTCCTCGGAGCCGGCCTTGGATCGCAGCAGGAGGCTGGAGTCGGCCCGAGGGTAGCTGTTCCGCCGGGCCTCGCCGGGCTCCACAATGGACACTGAAGGCTTGCGGGACTCCGAGAAGATGGACTTGCGCAGCTCCCCCTTCTCGGCAAAGGTGACGGGCGGCTTCTTGATCCCCAGCTGGAGCCCCGCGTAGGGCGACCTCCTGCCTTCCGCGGAGTCCATGCTGAAGTAGTTGGAGCCCTTGTCATCCACCGACTCCACGAACTGGATGATGGGTCGCCGCCACTCATTGCCGGAAAACAGGGCGCTCTTCCCCTCCCCTGCCTTCAGGGCGCTGCCCAGGCTCTTGCTTTCGGTTGCCTCCCCGCCGTGGCCATTAGTGGTCTTGGGGTCCTTGCCCTCGGCCTTGGTGCCATTCTCCAGACCAGCGTGGGAGCCAGAGGGGCTGCGGGCGTCCCTGGCTTCCGGGCTGGCCCCGTTGCTCCTGGAGGCGTCTGCGGCTTCCATCGCGGGACACTTGTCTGGTCTGCTTCGGGCTGGCTGGGGCTGCGGAGTGGGTGATCTCCTGGGTGTCTGAGCAGGGAGTGATACCCGCAGCCACTGGCCAGGAGACACACCTGTGGGGAGGAGGAGCAGGGGAGGAGCAGGCACCGCCTGACAAAACGGGCCAGGGAGAGACAGGCCCGTCAGCCTGCAGCTTGCTAATTATACAGGGGGCCACGCCCTGCACATTCATCCCTAACCTGCTTTTTAAAAGAAGTGTTTTTTCCTCCCTGAGTTTAATTATTTTCCACAACTCAGCAACCAGTTGGGCTGCTTCTCATCAGAGAAGCGGGAGCCTCTGTCTTGGGCAGACTTTGCCTTGGCAAGTGGTGGCCCCAGGGCAGAAGATGAGGTGCCCACGGAGGCTCATCGCACAGAGGGCTAGTAATTGGGTCACATAAGCCAAATAACCTTTTAATTTGAGGGCCTGGATTTCAGAGCACAGTCTCCGCCCTGGAATGGTAGAGTTGCTTCTCACCCTAAGGGAAGCTCTGAGTTAAGTTTGATTTGGATTTTTATTGCCAACTTCTGGGCCTTGTCCTAGGACCTTTGCATATGAGTGTACACAAGTCCCACTGCAGTCTGTTTGATCCTGACTTTCTAACAGATGAGAAAAATGGGACTCTAAGAAGACAGTTCCTTGGCTTCAGCCAAAGGGCAGAGCTAGGATTCAAACCGAAGCCCTTTGAGATTCCAAAGTGCCTTCTTCAGCTCAGAGCCATCTAAGTACTTCAGCAGAAAGTGGTTTCTAAAATCTTCCCTATTCCAGTATCCTTAACAAGATGCGCTTGGACCTTAGGCGTTTCATCAGAGCAGGTCAGAACCCACTTGAATCCTAAGGTCCAATCGAGACAAAGAAATGAGGGGATGCAAGTACACCAGCCAGATGACTGGGTCCTCAGGGGCTACACTTGACCCTCACCTTTCTCCATAGTATCTTTGCTGTGCTGCTCAGAAAACACTACCCACCTTCTCTGGGCCAGACCACAGGTAACACCCTCCAAAAAGAGATCAGTGCAGCATGGGACTCCCATAAATCCAGATGGTCCAGAAGAACAGTGAGACGTGTTCCACTTCATCTTCTCCCTAACCCTCTGCGGGAACACTGGGACCCTCAGCTCTTGCAGGATGTACCACCTGGGCACCAGTAGGATGCGGCCCACTGCCAGGTTATGGGGCCCACTACCAGGTTATAGGAAACCAGCACCTCACACCATCACCACCCAGTATGGCTGTGCCACTCCCAGGCTGGGCGGAGCAGACGGTAGGTGCAGCTGGAGCAGCTGGTCCAAGGCTACAGGGAGGGGAGCGGGCTCAAATCCAAGTCAGGCTTCACAGCCCCCGCCCTTGGTGCACCAGGCCAAACAGCTAATCCTTTACAATAACAGCACCTGGGAACAAGGGCAGAGACAAGCTGGTTGACCAGGACTTTCAGTCTCTGTGTGCTGGGACACGAGTCCCCTCCTTTGTGGCGCTCCTCCTTTCAAATAGCCATTAGAAGAGAGAGTTTCCGAAGATCCCCAGAACCCAAAGACTGAAAAGATCTTCCTGGAGGAAGAAATCAAAGAAATTGCTCCAGGACTGGACCAAGCCCTCGTACCACCACCATCTCCCCAGAGCTAGACCAAAAGCCAAGGACATCCATGCCTGAAGTACTGAGGTCTGTGGGGACACTGAGAATGGGCTGAAGGAAGGTGACAGCTCCCTGAACTCCCACAGATCCTTCACTCTGGCTCTGTCATTTATGCCTAAGGAGAGGCCTGACTGCACATCTGCAGGACTCCCATCCTCTTCAGCCCAACTCCAGTTGCACAAGTTCGATGAAAAGGCACTTCCTAGTGGCCCTTGGAGCCTGTGTGTCACATGCAAACTGGCAGAAAGCTGCCGGAGGTCATCAGAGTCTCCACAATAGCTGAGGAAGGGCCTTGAAGCAGAAGGGTCTTTTGGTTTTTAAGGGCCTTGAAAAAAAGGCTCTTGTGAACCTCTTCAGTTGTTCATTTCCCATCTTGTCCGTTCTTTCTGTGGTCTAGCTGAAAGCCTTCTTGCCATGACAGTGGGCTTTGGCTGCCAGCCCTTCCTTCATCCCTTTCAATATTTAGGCGGAAAGATGACCTGGCAGGTGTGGCTTTCAAAGCAGAATCCTCAAGGCAGAGGGACTTCAACCACTTCCCCTTGGCACTCTCAGACCAGGTGTGCCCCGCAGCCAGCCCCACGGAGTCCGAGTCCTCTCTTCCCACACCCACCTACAGCAACCCCAGGCCGCCTCCCCAGCTTCTTTCACGAGGCATCTTGAAGCCATCCCATCCCAGGCCCTCCCTCGCCTCCACAGGTGGGGCAGCACACCACCCACCCACTGAGGTGGCCTGGCAACATCTAATTCTGCCGCCAGTCACCTTCCCTTAAAAGAGGAAACCCCTTAAAAGGAATAAACTCCTCTACCTGCCTGGAATCTGAGCTGATCCATCCCTCAGCCTCTGGACAACAAAGGGGTGTGTGTGTGTGCGTGTGTGTGTGTGATGAACTATATACCCTTTAAAAGACTTAGGAGGAAAATTATTTCACAACCTCTCCCACTCTAGCCATTTATTTCTAACTTTAAGACTATTCCTACAGGTAGTCTTTCTTTGAGTCTAACTTAAATACACTGGAATTGACAGTTTACTTTGCAATTGGAGTTGAGGAACAGAGCCTCTGGCCCAGCTGGAGTTGAGGAAGAGAGCCTCTGGCCCACAAGGACAAGTTAAGAGGCAGTCATTTCTGTAAGGTCCTAACTCATCATGCTTCCTTTGACTTCTTTGTACCCAGGTCCTCTTAGAGTGCCTCTAGCTATAGGCAGCAAAGAGAAGGCTGCAGTGGTTCAAAGTTTTATAGCAATAACAGAATGCCCAAAGTCTAGTTTTCTCATCTCGGCTATCCTAATATGACTCAGTTTATCCTGAAATAGGAGGGATTTTTGATGATATAGTCAGACGGACTCTCTAGGTAAAGGAACAATGTTCCAGCTATCATAATTCCCTTCTTGGAAGTGCTTTAAAAGCAGGATTGACTTCTACCTGGCTAGAATGTTCCATGTAGCTACCCGGGAGAACAGGGGAAGGAGAGGAGCAAACATTTGTAGCACATCACCAGTGGGCCAGGCATGTTCCCAATCCTGGGTAAAAAAAAAAAAAAAAGACACTGCCCCAACCCTTAATGGTTTTTAACCTAAATGTCCCCATGGACTTAAACAATCGTCCTCCACCCTGCTCCAAGAGCAGCCCTGGGCTCTCTCTATGCCTTTGGCCCTTGAGAACACACTTGGTCTTAACCACTGGTCCTTCCCAAAGATGGTGACCAGGACTTGAGTTAAGGATAAACCTGACCTAGGATGTCTTCCTAGTGGGGAGGTGTGCAAGTCCCCTTCCTTGGTACCTTCCCAGCACTGGCTGAACACTTGGGAAAATGCCACTGAACCAAGCTGATATCCGTCTGTGGCTCTACATCAACAGTACAAGGGAGGCCGGGGTTTTTTACTTTGTGTGTCACTTGCCTAAACTGTAGGAGCTGGTGACCTCATCAAGCATGAATCTAGGTGTTGCTTCAAGAGTATTTGGTGAATGTGGTTAACACCTACAGTCAGCTGACTTTAAAGGAGATTATTCTCAGTAATGTGGGTGAGCCTCATCTGATCAGTTCAAAGCCCTGAAAAGTTCAAACCTAAGTGTTCCCAAAGAAGAAATTCTGCCTTAAAATTGTAGTTGCTGCGCCTGCCAAGGCTTCTGGCACGACAATCTGCCTTCTGGATTTGAGACTTGTCAGCTCCTACCATCATCTGAGCCAATTCATGGAAATCAATCTTTTCATACAAATGCATATCCTATTGAACCTACCTTGCTATGGAATCCTGACTGTTTCCCATCATGGACCCGCTCTGATTCTTTGGGGCCCAGATGATTCCTGGGGAGAGAGAAGAGCTTTGTCAAAAGCCCTATGGAGAGGGCTCTCTGATTAGAGCCAAAACCAGGGTAAAAGTAGCAGGTGGGGTGAAAGTAGCATGGGTGGAGGAGCCCCAGGACTTTCTTGCTCTATGAATTTGGAAACGTTACCTAACCTCCCTGATCCAGTTTCCTTGCCTACAAAATGAGGCTGATCCTAGCTCCCTGGCAGGACTATGGAAGGATTAAGGAAAATAACAATCATGCAAACGTGTACAAACTTCCCAATAAGTTTTATTTAATATATGGCTTTAGAGGAAAGGAACAAGGGCTTTCCTCCATAAGAGGAAGAACTGGGGGGACGCCTGGAAGAGGGGTTGACCAGCTTCCTTCCTGTGTTGGCAGCTGTGGAAGCTGAGGTTTGAAACCTCTGCTTCTTCCCATCATGTTCCAAATCATCTGCAGCTCTGAAATTCTGTAATTCTAGGGTTGCATCCTAAAACCCAGAGAAGGGCACGGTGAATAATTAAAGTCTTGAAAAATAGGACCTGAGAGGAGAGGGTTAAAGGTGCTGCAATAGTTTAGCCTGGAGAAGAGGTAGATTACAAAGCTAAGAGGGTTGTTTGGATGAGGGCCTGGCCAGCTTCCCTGACGTCTCTAGAGGGGAAAAAGGAACAGCCTAACAGGCAGCTAGAGGAAGTTAGGATAGCAGGGTATTATTGCCTTGCCAGAGATAGCATCGCTATCTGGAGGACTTGTGGCTGCAGGAGGTGATCTGGGATGGGAAACAGGTTGGATGACCTCTGAGATTTCTCCCTGCTGTTTCAATTCTGGAAACTAATTTTTGCGGACTTGTGCAACAGAAGAGCAAATGGAAGAAAAACTGGAGCATACTAAACAGGTGTAGGGAGGCAGTGGTCCTGGCCCAGGGCAAATGTTCCACCAGTGCTGCCCCTGGGAAAAGTCCAGTGACCACCAGGGAGTCCCAGAGGTCACAGGGGCACCAGAGAGAAGCCTGTGCCACAGGCTTCTTGGCCCCCAGGAGATGCTTTCTTCATCATTTCTTCCACATGGGCTCTGCCCAGATGCGGGTAGTGCTCCTCTCCCAGAGGGCCTCAGGGAAAATAAATTGTGCTTCTCATCCTGATACCACCACTTGGCCACTCCTATCCTGGTCTCTAAGCTTCCCCCCCCACCCATC